TGCTCTCCACCATCGACAGCTCGTGACATGTGTCAGCTCATGGGCTTGTGTCGTGAGTCACGGGCGCGTGAGCGCGACGACGGACGAATTTTGCAAGTGGAATGGTCCGGCGACCTTGGAGTCGCACATCAAGTGACCGAACGAGACGAGGTCGGGTTGTGGACTGTCGGCCGGCCGCCCCACCGTGTCCTTCATCCCCAATGGGTCCCAGAACGTCACGCGGAGGTACTCGGGGGCTCCTGGAGCTGCGACGGTGTCCAGGGGTGAAGCTCAGGGAGCTCGGCGTTGTTGAGGATGAGGGTCGTACACTTGTCGAGGTTGAGGGCTGCACCTGAAACGGCGCAAAAGGATCCCACTATATCATCGATTTGGTATTCAGCCGACCCCAAAGAGTTGGATAGGACCGTAGAGTCGTCCGCAAAGAAAACACTCATCAGTTTGGACCCGTCAGGCATTGGGATACCGAGCTCTGGCGAGGCGCGCAGCATGTCGCCCAAGGGTTCAAGGTACAAGTTGAAAAGCAGACAAGAGAGAGGACAGCCCTGTTTAGTGCCACGATTTGGTCGAATTGTTGGGCCCAACGTGTCGTACAGCAGCAAGTGCACCTTTGGCTTGGTGTAAAGGAGACGGACTCACTGCAGGAAGGCAGGACCAATGTTCATCCGCCGAAGGGCGTCAAACAGAAAGGTGTGGTCCACCCTGTCGTATGCCTTTGCAAAATCGAGAAACATCGCATAATGCTCTTCGTTGTTTCGCGTTGCTCGATGTTGGAGGGCCTGGACGAGGTAAATATGGTCGCGCATGTTACGACCCTTCACGAATCCAGCTTGGGTGGGGTGAATGAGGGTGGTTGCGTAATTGGAGTGCCTGTAGGCCAGCGTTCGTGAGAGGATCTTAACCTCCACCGGCATCAGTGTGATGGGACGGTAGTTCGACGGGGTGGATCTGTCGCCCTTCTTGTAGAGAAGGGTGACGGCGTTCCGGCGTTGCTGGTTAACCTCCACCGGCATCAGTGTGATGGGACGGTAGTTCGACGGGGTGGATCTGTCGCCCTTCTTGTAGAGAAGGGTGACGGCGTTCCGGCGTTGCTGGTTAACCTCCACCGGCATCAGTGTGATGGGACGGTAGTTCGACGGGG